ACAGAGTTATGGAAAAATGGGTCAAGCCAGAAAATGTTCTCTACTGCAGAAGACTCAGATTCAGACATTTACTGGTAATTTGGATCAGTAAAGTGTGCTGGATTTAATGCAAAAGAAATGGCAAAGGTTGTTGCAGATATGCATTGCATCCAGCTGCTTGTCACCATATGGGAATGTGGATCGTGTTGATACATTTTTCCAATTTTCAAAGAAGTCAAGAATTAGGACCCTTTTGTGAAATTTCTCAATTTCTATAATACTGTGATGGTTAAAGCATGCCTGTGGCTTAAATACACACTCTGAGTTGCCCATCAGTGGCTCCTATTTCCAGAATTATGTCTATGAAAACAGCTAGAATTAGTAGTATAGTCATTTCCCCTTGGGTGGATCTGTGGTTTTGAAGATCACATCATGGAAATGAAATGAAACATAAATGTACTTGTTACACTTACTCAATATCTAAAAGGAAAATGAAAGAAGACAGTGGACTGCATTTTCCTCAAGCCACTATACAGTTTAGAAAGTAGAAGATTACAATTTAACAGATTTGCAGTACTGGTTTTGGAGTCTTATGTATACAGTATCTTCCTAAGATAATCAGTTATTTATGATTTTTGCGTGTAAAGCTGGGGCTAAGTTACTAAACAATGCTATTTACCCTGGCTTGATGCACTACGATTCTCTCTGGATTACATTTCTATGATCTAGCTTTAGGCACCTTTTCTGCAAAATAGAGAAAAGCATCTGAGTTGCTTCATTTAAATCAACAATTAAATATATGGCAAAGTGACAGGAGACATATCAAATAATATGTAACTGTAATCATTGACTCGTGCACTATCAGTTATAGATAAAACATATAGCTATGACATGTCTGTACCATGTGTACTTTTATTCTCCTTTTTTTTGTACCATGTGTTTTTTTTCCCTCAAAAAGAGGAATAAAAAGCATTTGGGGAGCTTTATGTATGAAACTTACTGACCACACAGGGCTTTATTTGGGAATGCTGCTGTGCTTGTTCCAGCAGTCGATTTTCACTGAAAATGTCTGTTGAGATGTGATGGCTTAAATGTTTTCATTACCAATACTATGTCATGGTACATTTTTCATATATACAAAGTTTTAGTGCAGAAGATTGGCAGATATTTTTACATAAAATTAAAAACTAATAGAAAAATTAAGAATACTGCACTGTCTTAGACTTATTCCTCATGTTACACAAAGAGCTTTTTTCAGCATGTAAATACATAATTGCAAATACTTTCAAGGTAAGATGTATGTTAGCACTGAGAAGAAAGGATACTTTGAAACCGTGTTGTTCAGTAAAACAAATGTAACCAATCATTCTAGAATATTCAGATTATGACACATAGAACTTGAGATGATCCAAATTTCTCGTGTTCTTTGTCCAATTAGTCAAATATTTGCCAATTTCCTCATGCAGAAATAGCTGAACACGTATATATTGGCCATTTTATGTGACAGCCTGTCAAATCTCAGAAGCTCTACCATTGGTCCTCTGATCCATATTTGCTCCTGGGAAGTAGGAAGGCGTGATGGCCATGGGAAATGTGTGCGGACAGTGGACTCGTAACAAATACTGTCTCTGAGAGCCACAACTCAGAGATAATACAACTAGTCCAAAGATTTGTTGTGTTTTTCCCATGAGACAAAGTCATTGGAAAAGCTTCAATAAAAATTGTTTTTACCATGTTTAGCTTTCAGGTTTGTTTGTTTTTGTTTTCAGATGCAACATATCCATTGTTTTGGTCTTACCTGTAATCAACCAAAGAAAAACGATTAGGTTTAACAATGCAGAAGAACATTAGTAAGCTGTTAGAAACCAATGGTGATCTGTAGCCTCTGAAAAACAGAGTCTGTGTTTGTGACTCGAATATGCAGGGCATGGGGATACATGGTAACATTCACCTACAGCCAAATGTTCTGAAATCAGCAGTTCTCTCTGCCTCCTCTACTGCAGCACTCAGTTCTGAAGAGTGCACATTCCAGGCATGCAGTCAAGATCTGCTGATTGAATGTTGTTAAGTGCACAGATTTCTCATACACGTACTTTTCTATGACATCTTGTTTTTCATAAACTAGGTAATTTCACCTTATACAAGTTATAAATTCTCATTGTTAAAAGGACACAGACATATTAGAAAAGTAAGGACATTTTAAAAGCTAGCTATTCTGTTTCACCCATTAATATTTTGTTATAACATCACAAGAGTAAATTGTGATAAACTCTATTTGTTTCAACTACAAAGAGCACTAGCCAAATAGCAAAATATAAAAGTGTTAAACTGAGTTTACTGGGGGCTTTCTGAACCACTGCTCTTTGCCTAGCCATACACACACACACACACACACACACACACACACACATACACATACACACATAGAGAAATATATGTTTTGTACAAATTCGAGTTACTCAAACATTGTATTTAATGATTCTTTGCCTTAGGGGAAAACAGGGTAATGAAGAAGCTTTCAAAGAGAAATATACTGCTCTGTGTGTTTTTAGTGCCATAGTTTTTGCTGATTACAAAAGTTTTGGCATTCATTGGTTATTACAGTTTTAATATGCATTAATATCATTAATTAATTAATATGCACTACTTTTTCTGGTTTTAGTTTTTCAGTTTTCTTTTCATTACATTTTTTCTTTTATCTTGCATTGCTTTAATGTTACTTGAGCAAAAATATGGACAGAACGATAAATTTTAATTAGTATGTCTTTTATTCCAATGTATTATTCATAGAACTCTTTGTTGCATATGAAAAAATAAAGAAAACTACTGCTGTACTGAACTTTAACTTTTGAACCATTGCTATTATTGGACATATGTTGGCACGTAATCCCCAAGGTCATAGTACTAAGAGGTGAAGGCTGTTGGGAGTTGAGGAGGCCCTGAGAATTCCACCCTCATGGAACTCTATCACTTTTACACTTCCACCAAGTGAGGGCAGAGCATTCATCCCTTCCTCCTTGTAAGGACAAGGTGCTATCTCAGAAGCAGAGCCTGGGCCCTGGCAGACACTGAATCTGCTGGTGCATTGATCTTGGATTTCTCAGCTTCCAGAACTGTGAGAAACAAATGTATATTATTTATAAATTACACACTCTGTAATATTTTGTCATAACAGCAGGGATGAACTGAGATACCCATTAACATTAATATTTTTCATTTGACTGTAGTTAATAATTAAGTGTTATATATTAGAGAACAGTACATTTGTAATCTGTCCTTAAAAGTCTGAATCATTGTCCAAGTGAAAGAAAGCTCCATAATCTATTAAAGAATATTTTGACATGTTACAAAAATGTTTTGAGAAATGTTAAAAATTTCTTATTTAAATTTATCTCATTAGTTGATTTGCTTCTAATGTACAGTAGGAAAAAAATGAGTGTGCAACATTTTCATAAATATAAACCTCACAGACAATGGATCTTCACTAAGGCTGTATCTATGAGGACACCAATTTAGAGGTTAGAGTCCCAAAAAGTATTGTCATGAGACATCTTGACAAATAATTGAATTTCTAAATAAAATATATTGATAGTTTTCCTGTATGAAGAAATTTTTTTTTTTTTCTGATGGCTACCAATATGTCAAGTTCAGGAAGACAGACTCAGTATACAATAGATCCATTCTCTGAATGCAGATTCTAGGTGAGACAAATTTGAGTTGTGTCAAAGCATCAAGATGATTTATACATAACCTTCTAAAATGAAGAAACCTGCCTGTAACAAGTCATATGTCATTTTATACATTATGTTTTATTTTTTAAGTTTTATAATAATAGCTCTAAATATTTAGACAAATAAGCTGTAGTTACTGTTAATCATTAGTTTTGTCATATGTTCCCCAAAAGGAAATATTCTTTTGATTTCTTTAGAAACAAATGAAAAATGTGATGTATCACAGTTGATATATCGGCAAATGAAAGGCCTTTAAAAATAAATTTCCTCAAGTAGTAAACACGGTGTCAAGAACTACGTAAATCAGCTGTGATCGGTCCTGCATTCCTCCCTGTCACTGGGACCTCACGTAAGTCTACTGCACTTCCGGAACTTGCCAGTTTTGTGACTAATTTTACACACAATAAAACTTCCTCGGGCTCTTCGTTTGACAGGGATGACTGCACAGCACTGCTGGTATCCAATAGATCATTTCTGGTATGGTTTCTTGCTTGGTCATTGCCAGTATCAAATTGTATTGAATTTGAACAAATAAATACAAGATAAATAGATTTCTCTAATGACCTTAAAACAAATAATCCAGTTAAGTTTTATCTCTGAGCTTTTAAAACTTGGAAATACTAACAAAATTGTCTTTTACGTAAGCCAAGTAAATGTAAAGGACACTGTTCAGTGTGTCACAATGTGAATATTATAAATACATTAAAATTTGTTGATTATGCAGTAATGTCAGCATGCTTTCTACTCTTTGTAATCAGTATCTGACACTGAAGTACAAACATCAAGTACATGAGCATGAAATTGAGAGCCTAACAAGCAAACATGATGACGTCAAAATTAAGTTTAAAATGGATTATATTGGAAGAAAAACTTGCTGTGTGACTTTATCAATTGTTAGCAAAATCAACTTTACATATTTTCTAAAGAAATAAACAGTCCATTACCACTTAGTGGATATTTCAAATGCATTCATTACAGTTGCAGAAATTGACCTTTGTGGCTATTAATAGTAATAGTAATTTTTCATATTAATATTATTAGCAAGAAGTAGCACATTATTTCCTAAAGGACCAGATGTTGGTATTTTAGGCGTTGCAGGCCAGAGGTCTTTACAACTACCTAATTCCATGCCTGAAGGCTATCATGGAAAGGATATAAATCAATGAGTGTGATCCAATAAAATTTTGTTTACAAAAGCAAACAGCCAGACCTCTAGATCAGTGGCATTTCATAGTTCTGTAGTGTGTTTCTATTTTCACAAATTAACATAGCAATCTTGTGTTGCCTAGGCACGGATATTCACCTTTGCAGATGCGGAAACAAGAATTCTCATATGAAGCATAATAAGTGAGACTCAAGGCTCCAGATTCTACAACAGATGCTTCCCATATTTATGCCTAATGAAGTAAGCTACTCTGAAAATCAAAATGTGTATTTTTAAAATACAAAACAACTTTCTACCTTGTTCTGAACTTTGTCATATAAGACCATGGAGACAAATAATAGCACAATCTCAGATCCCAGCCAATTTATCTGACATATGCTTAAAATTTAGGAATGAAAGCCCTCAGCCATGTTTAGGAAGACAAATGCAGACACAGAGGACTTGACAGCTGTTGTTACTTCATTGAGAAGAATTAATTCCTTATTCAAATACTATTAAAATATTTATGGAATGAATTAATACATGAACAACTTTAAAGATATGATTAAGTATGTTCTGAAAGAAATAATTAGGAATGATAATAACAACATAGTTTTATGTATATACTGAACCATTTGGTTTCAATTTATTCAACAACTACAAAACAATGATTGAACACAAGGTCTGAGTCAGATATTTCTACAGAATCTGAGAAAGTCCAGGCATAATTTCTATTTTGAAAAGGCTAAAATATAAAAGAAAGACATGGGAATTTTAAAAGGCAATAAAAAGAGAAAATATATGTTTTAGACATAACTAATAGCATAGGTTTTTAAAAGGTAAGTGAAATAACAATATATTTAAAAATATATGCAATGGTCAAAAATATACTTTATCTTTTTCAATCTACTAACTGATTATTACTTACAATTTTACAATTTTGTTTAAAAGTACATATCATTTAAGAAAAAGAAGAAATAAATTAGCAAAACAAAAGGAATCGAAGTCAATCTGAAATAAAAGCATGTTACTGAAATAAATGCCAATATATTTTTTAGACACAGCAAAGAAAGTTATTTTCATATGTGGATTTTGTGGGCTGTCACTTTATTGAGTTCATTAATTAGTTCTAATGGGTTTTTGTTTTTTTGGTTTTTTTTTGAGTTGATATATCAGCAAATGAACTGGTCTTGTATCCCAGAGTGAAATCCGACTTGGGTACTTCTAATATGCTATTTAATTTGATTTGCTAATATTTTATGGAGGATTTTTGCATCTGTGTTCATCAGAGATCTCGTCCTCTATGTTATTTTGTGTTGTAGCATCTGCTGTAGTTTGACATTTGGTCCCACCAAACCTGGTGTTGAGTAGGACCTAGTGGGAGGTGTTTGGTCATAGGGGGAGATCCCTTAGGAATGGCTTGGTTCCATTCTTGCGGTAGCGAGTGAGCTCTTGCTCAATTAGTTTCCACCATAGATGGTAGTTGAAAAGAACATGGCACTTTCCCCTCTTTCTTGCTTCGTCTCTGTACATGCTGGCTCTCCTTCGCCCTCTGCCTTGGGTGGAAGCAGCTTGAGGCCCTCACCAGTAGCAGATGCTGGCACCATGCCTCTTGTACAGCCTGCAGAACTCTGGGCCAAGCAAACTTCTTTTCTTTATAAATTACTCAGCCTCAGATGTTCATGGATGTAACACTAAACAGACTAAAACAGTATCTTTTTCTGACTTTGGAACCAGGCCAATGCTGGCCTCATAAGATAGGCTTGGAATTGTCTTAGTTCAGGCAATTATAACAAAGACTATAGACTGGCTGACTTATAAAAAACATAAATTTATTTCTCACAGTTCAGGAGGCTGGAAATGCAAGATAGAAATGCTACCATGCTCAGATTCTGGTGAAGGCCCCCTTTCGGGATGCAAACTACTGACTTCTTGTTGTAGCCTCACATTGCAGAAAGAACAAGAGAACTCATGGGAGTCCCTTTTATAAGAGTATTAATCCCATTCGTGAAGCTCTAACCTCATGAACTCATTACTTTCCAAAGGTCTCATCTATTAACACTATTACATTGGGGGTTATGATTTCAATATATGAATTTGGGGAAGAACACAAACATTCAGCCCATAAGAAGTGTTGTTTGTTCTATTTTTTTTGGAAGAGTTTAAGGATTTGTTTTAAATGTTGTTTAAATATTTGGTAGAGTTCACCTGTAAAGCCATCTGGTCTTGTGATTTTCTTTGTTTGAAATTTTAGATTGTGGGGAAAGGGCCAAGATGGCCGACTATAACCAACAGCATTTGGAGGCTCCCATGAAAAAAAAATCATAATAAGCATGTGACTCCTTCACCAGCAACCAAAGTATACAAGTTCTCTCATAAAAATTGACTAGGAGGCCGGCGTGACCTACGGAGGGAAGGAAGAGCAGTGTGGTGTGGCGGCCAACCTGAGAGCCACAGGGGAAGAGGAACCACCTGCCTCCAGCCAAGGGAGGCGTGAGTGAGTGCACTGTCCGGCCAGGAAATCTGTTTTTCCCATGGAACTGTGCAACCAACCCATGGATCAGAAGATCCCATTCCTGAACCCACACTACAGGAGCTTAGTATACCAAGCCCAGAATGCACAGATTCTTACAGCCTCTCAGCCGGAATCTGCTTAAACCCACTGAACTCCTGGGGGAGGGGCGACCAGCACTGGCTGCGGCTGCCTGCTGTCAAGCCCTTTGAGCTCCTTGGGGGAGGGACAGCAGCCAGCACTGGGACTTTCAACTGCCTAACACCTAAGCTCTTTGGGCAGGGGAAGGGCAGCACCCATTTCTATAGCTCCAGGCTGCACTTTTCCCCTGCTAGAGCCAGGGAGGCTGGAAGGCTTGGTCCCAAGGCTTGTCCCCGCAGTCCAACACAATGGCTGTGGCAGTCTGCAGCAAGAGTGCATCATCAGGCCTAACTGACCCATCCTTCCCCAGTCCACTGGGCTTCCCTGCAGGTTCTCCAGTAACTCCAGTCACAGGGACAAAATTGGAATCTCTCGGGGCCCAAGTCCCTAGAGGGAGGGGTGGCCACAGTCTCTGCACACCAGCAGACTTAGCCTATCTTTCTGGTAGTTCTGAGGAATCTGGGCAGCCCAGATGAATGGGTTTCCCCACAGTGAAACATACCATCTCCACCAAAGGACAAAGTGCTTTATTAAACAGGTCCTGCTCCCCATGCCACCCAGTCGGGTGAGACCCTCCAAAAGGGGTTGTCAGACACCCTATACAGGAGCGATACTACTGGCATCAGGTTGGTGCCTCTCCAGGTCAGAGGTCCCAGAAGAAGAAGCAGGCAGCCATTTTTGCTGCTCTCCAGCCTCTTTGAGTGACATCTCCAGGCACAGGACCGAATCAGATGAGTAGGGCCTGGAGTGAATCCCCAGCAAACTGCAGCCGCCCTACAGAAGAGGGACCTGACTATTGAAAAAAAAACAAGCAAAAAGTGACAACAATAGCAACAACAAAAAAAAGACGCCACCCTCCCAAAAAAAAAACCCCATCCAAGGGTCAGCAGCCTCAAAAACTGAAACTAGACAAACTCACAAAGATGAGAAAGAATCAATGAAAAAATACTGAAAACCCAAAAGGTCAGAGTGCCCCTTCTCTTCCAAATGATTGCAATGTCTCCCTATCAAGGGCGCAGAACTGGACAGAGGATCAGATAGACAAACTAACAGAAGTAGGCTTCAGAGGATGGGTAATAAACTACAATGAGCTAAAGGAACATGCTCTAACCCAATGTGAAGAAGCAAAGAACCTTGATAAAAGCTTAGAGGAATTGCTAACTAGAATAACCAATTTCGAGGGGAACATAAACAACCTAACGGAGCTGAAAAACACAGCACAAGAACTTCATGAATCATACAAAAGCATCATCAGCCAAATCAACCAAACAGAAGAAAGGATATGAGAGTTTGACAACCACTTTACTGAAATAAGACATGCAGACAAGAATAAAGAGAAAAAAAGAATGAAAAGGAATGAACAAAGACTCCAAGAAATATAGGACTTCATAAAAAGACCAAACCTACAATTGATTGGAGTAACTGAAGGAGATGGGGAGAATGGAAACAAGCTGGAAAACACAATTCAGGATATTATCCAGGAGAACTGCACCAACCTAGTAAGACAGGCCAACATGCAAATTCAGGAAACATTTAACACAGGAGCACCTAGATTCATAAAACAAATACTTAGAGGCCTACAAAGAGGCTGAGTGTGGTGGCTCATGTCTGTAATCCCAGTACTTTGGGAGGCTGAGGAGCATGGATAACCTGAGGTAAGGAGTTCAAGACCAGCCTAGCACACATGGTGAAAAACCAATCTCTACTAAAAATACAAAAAAATTAGCCAGGTGTGGTGGCACGCACCTGTAATCCCAGCTACTCGGGAGGCTTGGGCAGGAGAATTGCTTGAACCCAGAAGGCAGAGATTGCAGTGAGCCAAGACTGGGCCACTGCATTCCAGCCTGGGCAACAGTGAGACTTGGTCTCAAATAAGAGAGAGAGAGAGATAGAGAGACCTACAAAGAGACTTAGACTTCCACACAATAATAGTGGGAAGCTTTAACATGCCATTGTCAGTATTAGACAGATCAATGATAGAAAGTTAACAAAGATATTCAGGACTCAAGCTCAGCCCTGGATCACGTAGACCTAGTAGATGTCTACAGAACTCTCTACCCCAAATAAAGAGAATATACATTCTTCTCAGTGCCACATGGCACTTACTCTGAAATCAACCACATAATGGGAAGTAAAACATTACTCAGCAAATGGAAAAAACTGAAATAATAACAGTCTCACAGAACACAGTGCAATCAAATTAGAACTCAGGTTTAAGGAATTCATCCAGCACTTTGGGAGGCTGAGGCAGGTGGATCGCAAAGTCAAGAGATCGAGACCATCCAGGTCAACATGGTGAAACCCCATCTCTACTAAAGATACAAAAACTTAGCTGGGCATGGTGGTGCATGCCTGTAATCCCAGCTACTCAGGAGGCTGAGGCAAGAGAATTGCCTGAACCCAGGAGGCAGAGGTTGTGGTGAGCCGAGATAGCGCCATTGCGCTCCAGCCTGGGTAACAAGAGCGAAACTCCGCCTCAAAAAAAAAATTAATTTAAAACCACACAATTTTATGGAAATTGAACAACCTACTCCTGAATGACTCCTGAGTAAATAATAAAATTAAGGCAGAAATCAAGAAGTTCTTTGAAATGAATGAGAACAAAGAG